CGCCCGCCCCCCGGGGAGACACGAGCCCCGAGCTCGGCAGGACGCCGCCTCCTCAGGTTTGTGGGGTCGGTAGCCCGGAGTCTGAGGAGAGGGAGCCCCGGCTCCCATCCGAGCTTCCCTTCGGGAAGAGGGTCCGGAGCTGCCTTGAGCCTCGTCTGGGGCGGGAAGCTGAGGGGAGCTTATTTCTTGCACTGGGTGTCCTTGCCCTGGGGACTGGCGGAGCCGCGAGGACCCGCACAGGGCCGCGGGGGGGGGTGGAGCTGAGGAGGCGGAGAAGCCTCCTGCCTGGTGGAGAAGACTCCAGTGGGGGGTTCGGGTGGAATCCCGGGGAGGGGCTCCTCCTCCTCGGTGGGGGTGGGGACTGCCCGCGTGCTCGCGTGGGTGCGGGGGTTTCTTGGGTGGGTTAACAGTCCGTGGGAGTCCAGGCGTTAGCGCCACGGTGAGTGGAGGGCAGGAGGGCCTTCCCGGGGTCCGGAGGGCCTCCCTGTGGGAGCGCGCGTGTTCTCCAGAGCGGGGAGAGCCGGACGGGGCCCGGCTGGGCATGGGTCTGCGCTTGGCTTGGGGCCCTCAAGTCCCGGGAGAGTCCCCGCTCGAGGGATGGGATTGAGAGGGCTGATGCTAGTCGGGATTTGAGCTGGGCTGAGGGGAAGAATAAAGAGGGATTCCTTTCCAAGGAAATCCCTTGCTGAGGGGATCCCCGTTTCCATGGAAGAAAAGATGATCTCGCATCATCCCTTTCTTTTCCGGTGTTCCTAGTTTTCAGAGGAAGGAGATGGCAGCAGTCATCTTTTGTAGGGCTTTATCAGAGGCGTTTGTATCCTTTGGGGGGCGATGAGGGGGGATAGCTTCCACCTCCATCTGTACACAAACAGCCCCTCCCCCAGCCTCCCGCAGGAAGTGGCCGGGAAATGGCAGCTGTGCGTTTGCTGCTGCGTCTCGTTGTTTTGAAATGTCCATTTTAATCAGATTTGGTTTCATTTTCTGAGGCATTCTGGGCAAGCTTGGATTCTACCAACCAGGTGTCCTGAGAGATTTCTTTGGAGACACCCCCCGGGGGGGGGGACCTAATTTGTCAACTGAAAGTAGTTGACTGCCTTCAACTAACTGATCCTGATTACCCTCCTCCAGAATGTCTTTCTCCCTGAGATCCAACACCTGCACGCTAGAGGTCAAAGAGAAACAAACTCAGTTATTCACCCTAGTATACACCTTCACTACAATTGATGCAGAATCCCTTGGCATAGAGAGCTGCCAAGAAGACTTTTATCTATTGTGGCATGAGAGTGGCTTCTTGGGATTCTACCTAGTACGCTCTTAAGTCTTACAGTTTCTGTATTGTACAACCTCTGAGCAAACTTGTGAAGTAAAGATATTCTGAGAACTGAAGAAAGACAAGGTGATGGGGAAGACTTAATTACCATTAAGATTTCTAAATCGTGGTGAGGACTGAAGTGTAAAGAGTTAGAATAATGATCTTGTTCCTCAGTGGTGATTCTAGCCTAAGGGCAACCTTGCTATGAATGATTTAGTTGATTTGGGGTGTTGGAGGTTTTTCCTTCTTTGTAGAACTAATTAGGAGTTTACTTGTCATGTGACTTAGACTTTATAAAAGAACATCTCTTATTTTTGAAGAATGGTAAGCTTTCCCTCTGCTGAGATTTTTCTCTTACTTGATAAATTGAGATTTCTCCTATAGCATAGTGGTGGTACTGTACTATATGTCCCCAGACATTTTGTTGCACACCAGGTTTGTTTAGGGATAAGAGTTCACTCACCACAAGAGTTTGGGTTTTGATTGTTGAATTATTGTATTTGGACTATCCTAAAAACTTTTCATTTAAATCAGCCTTCAACTATTTTCTAGTCAAAAAATCTGCTGCCTGATTGTAGATAAAACCCAGGATAGGAACAGATAATGTTTGTGTGAAAGTGGCATCATTGCATTTAAGATCACATCATTTCTCTTTTCATTGAGCCTGTTAATATTCTGGAGACAGTAAAAACAAGTCCTTCTCATGTCAGGCTTTTTCTTGCTCTCCAGTAGACTGACTGGTTCCTTTGTTGGGGTTGAGACAGGGTCTCACTATGTAGTTGAGACTGCCCTGGAACTCACCAGGTAGCCCTGGCTGGTCTTGAACTCACAGTGATCCTCCTACCTCAGCCTCCCAAGTGCTGGGATTATAGGCATGCGCCACCATGCCCAACTCTGAAATGATTTTTAAGTTCCCATTTCTTCAGCTTTTGTTTACCTAAATTGGGACCTGATGAAGGGTAAATTGATTTTTGCCTGTTAGGGTTAAAAGTGAAGAGTGCTGTGGGGATCTAGTTCAGTGGTAGAGCACTTACTTACCTAGCATGCACAAGGCCCTGGGGTCAATGTCAGCACTACATACAGCCGTGGGAGGCTGAGACAGGAGGATCAAAAGTTAAAACCCAAGGGGGGCTGGGGATTTGGCTCAGTGGTTCCACCACCACCTGCCTCACAAGTGAAAGGGTCCAAGTGTGATTCCCGCTAACCACCCCCCACCCCACCCCTTGCATAAAAATGTACCTAAGGGCCAGGGATTTAGCTCAGTGGCGCTGTGCCTGCCTTGCAAGCATAAAGTACTGAGTTCATCCCCAGTACCAAAGAACAAAACAAAACAAAACAAACAAACAAAAAAAAACCAACCTTGAAACCTATCCTGGACATCTTAGGGAGACTCTGTCTCAAAGTTAAAAAAAAAAACAAAAACTAAAAGGGCTCGTACCTTGGAGCATTGCAACCATGGATTCAATCCTCAGTATGTGCTCCCCAAACAGGTTTTTTTTTTTTTTTTTTTTTTTTTATTTTTTTTTTTTTTGCTTTTTATATACTGTGGACTCAAATATAAGCAGGTTTTGAGAAAATACTGATTTCATTTGGTATAGCTGAGGCAAGCCTTTCGTGGTCTTCTCATAAAATGGATGCACTTTTCTACATAAAAGTTGATTTCTTAATACTAATTGGCCTACTGACTGCTCTCCTTAACAGAAAAAAAATTGAAATATAGAGTTATATGTACTGACCTCAGCCAATCAGAAATCTAAAATGCCCCAGAGGTTTATCTTGTAGTTTTGTGGTTCTAGAATCAGATGTTACCAAGACACGCAAATCTTGTTAGGGTTCCTGACTTTTGACTTACTGCTGTTGACCTTTCTTTCTAAACCTTGAAGAGGTCCAGCTCCAGAATGCTGTGTTTTTTTTGTTTTTTTTTTACTGTTAAAATTGTAGAGCTGGGTGTGGTGACACACTTGTAATCCCAGCACTTAGAAGGCTAAGGCAGGAGAATCCCTGGGAGGTTGAGGTCATCCTGGGCTGTGTAGTGAGTTCAAGGCTATCGTGAACTACATAGCAGGACCCTGACTCAAAAAAAAAAAAAAATTGTATAGAAGTGTTAGCGTGCTATTTGACCTAGTGTGTGAGATGTAAAGTGAGGCAGTAAGGCCAGTTTTTATATCCTGAGACATAGAGTGAAGTATACAACTCTTGAAGTATTTCTTGGGCAAATTATCTTCCTGATTTATTTCTTAGAATACTGGTGTCCTTACATGTTTTATAGCCCAAAATGAATACTTTCTCATCATTGTCTCATGGGTGGGAAGGTCTGTTTTGCGCCAGTTTGTTAGGATAATTTTAAAACCCTGTCATTGAAGGCCTGGAAGTCGTTCTTGATAGCAGTAAAGTAGCATTGGCTTAGTATTTTTGTTCTCTTAAATAGTCATGTGGGTTTGGTTCCAGACCCCAAGGATAACAAAATCTGAGAATGTTCAGATGAGTTATATAAAATGTATTTCCATCTCTGGTTTTTTGTATCTTGCTATTTATTTGACATTTGTTATTGTTGATTTTTTGTTTTGAGACAGGGTCTCACTATGCATGCAGTCCAGGCTAGCCTTGAACTTCACCAGTCCCCCTGCCTCAGCCTTCCAAGTGCTGTGATTACAGGTGTCAAGGCCATCACGCCCAACTATGTCTTGCAATTTTAGAGGTATTTCTGGTTTTCTCACAGTAAAGTAACTAGAAGTTTGGCAGAAAATGCAATTTAGGTTATGTTCTTCCTTTATAGCGTTTAACATATATTTGTAAAAAAAATTTTTTTGTAAATCTGTGTACCTTGAATGTTCAGTTAACTCTAAATATTTCACTAGTTTAGAGCTTAAAGTTACTGACTTTTTACATTCTTAGTACTTACCTGTTTCTCAGCCTCATTTTCTACAAGGGGATAGCCATCTAAAATACATAGAGAATTCAGGGCTGGGTATTTAGCTCAGTGGTATTGCATCTGCCTGGCAAGCACAAGGTCTTGAGGTCAACCCCCAGTACCTTTTTTTTCCTCTAAAAATTTTATCTCTGAAGAATGAAGCTGGATTTTTTGGTTCTCTGAAAATACAGCAAAGACTGTAACCTTGGATTCATAAGCTGGTAACATTTAAAAAACAAAACACACAGATTTACTCACTTATTTGTTCAGTCCATGAGTAAAACAAATACTTCTTGGGCTGGAGATTTAGCTCAGTGGGACCGTGCCTGCCTGGCAAGCTCAAAGTCCTGGGTTCAGTCCTTGGTACTGCAAAAACAAAAACAAAAAAACCACTTCTTTTGGTTCTTCTATGTCCTCAGTGCTAAATTCAGTACTGGAAACACAACGGTGGAACCTAATATCCAGTTGATGCTGTACAACCTACATAAGGTAGAAGAAATAAGGACAGAGAACAGTTATCTTTGTATAAATTGCCTTGGACAGCCTGGACATGGTAATTTTTTTTTTTTTAACCAGCATCTCTCATTTTCCTTCTTTTATCATCTTCCTCCTCCTTCTCTTTAAGAGTTCTTTCTAGGAAAGGGAGTTAAATAAAGGGCATTTTGAAAGAGAATGAGCCTCAGTACATGCTGTAGTATGTCTGAGCCAGTGTTCCAAGGGAAGCTTGTTAACCAGAGTCAGAATGAACCATCCTGTCTATGGAAGAGGGCAGTCTGAGACTTGGCACTTGGAATTCCTTTGGTGGAAGAAGTGACTTAGGCAGAAAGAAGGGTTTTTAAAATTTATAAAAGTCAAAGCCAGGCGTGGTGGCACACGCCTATAATCCCAGCACTTGGGAGGCTGAGGCAGGAGAATCACTGTGAGTTCAAGACCAGCCTGGGCTACACAGAGAGTTCCAGGTCAGTCTCGACTGCATAGTGAGACCCTGTCTGAAAAAGCAAAATAAATAAATAAATGAATAAATAAAGTAAAAAATCAAAAGTCCCTACTTTCAATGTCAGGAACTGGGAGCAGTGAAAATCTGAAACTTCCCCAGGGTGTGGGGCAGTTTTTGTGTTACACAGAGCAGGGTTTCTCAACCTTGGCACTGAATCTTAGGCCAGATGATTCTTCATTGTGGAAGGTTATCCCACGTGTTGAAGATGCTTAGAGGCAGGCATTTCCAGCTTCTATTTAATGCTGGTAGCACTTTGACATTACTCAGTGTACCCTTGTGAGTAAAATCACTCTGGTTGGAAACCTCTGTATTAGAATATGGTGGGTAACTCAGATGTGTGGAGTTGAGAACTATCCTTATAACATTCACAGTTATAAAACTAACATTGTGGTATGGTTTCTTATTATACAGTAGAATTTGGCTTTGCTGCTTAGTCATGATAAACATTTAAAAGTCTCAGCTCACCCTCTTCTCCCAAATTAGAAATCTTCCTTATGTAGAATTTTGGTGGACTACCTGAGAAGAATCAACCAGAGAGCTGCAGGGACTACCAGAGTAGCTGGAGGGTCTTGATGTGTCTCCTGTTTCCGGGAGTATCCTTACAGGCCTGACGATTAGAATTGGTCAGGCAGGATACCTGCGGTAGTGTCACACTCTGTAAAATTTATTTCAGCAGTTTATGCATTGTCATCCTTTTTCTGTTAAAACCTTGTTCATAGATCCACAGAATAGAAGTTTTTTATTTCACTCAAGAGAAAAGCATCACTTTTGGGCATGTGCAAGTGCCTTACTGCCTCAAGATTAAGGGGCATTGTCCCTTAACGTTTGTTTGTTTGTTTGTTTGTTTGTTTGTTTTGAGACAGGGTCTCACTATGTAGTTCAGGCTGGCCTCAAATCACATCAGCCCTCCTGCTTTGGCCTCCCAAGTGTTGGGATTACAGGTGTGCACCACCAGTTGTCCTTTAACTCAACAAATGAAACACGGGTACTCTTAAGAGATCCATTTATGTACAACTAATTGCGTTGGGTGCTTGCCTAATTGTACTTCCTGATTGTGAGAGCTGTCTGATATTTTGGGGCTTGGGCACTGGCTGATTTTTTTCATTTGGCAAAAATCCTGTTTGAGGGAGACACTCTCCTTTGCTTTACTGTTCTTACTAGCTCTGGATTGGAGAACAGTGTACCTTCAGGCTTTATTATGAAAAGCATCTTGGGTAAGAAGATTAAAATGAAATAACCCTTGGTTTATTGAGGTGAAGAACTATTCACTTTTTTTTTTTTTTTTTGGTACTGGGGATCAAACTCAGGACCTTGTGCTTGCCAGGCAGGCAGCAGAACCACTGAGCTAAATCCCCTGCCCTATTCACATTTTCATTGTGATCCCATATTCAAATAACATCAGAAACCAGGAATCAAGTTTCCTATAAGGGCTTCTGGGTGGATCTTCTCTAGTTTTGAATTATTTCCCATTCTGGTAATGGTTTTAAATTAAATTTCTAGTGAGGGCCAGGATGTAGTTTAATGGTGCCATGCCTGCCTGGCAAGTCAAGGTCCTGAGATACATACATACATAGATATATATGATAGATAGATAGATATGTATTTCTAGTAAGACTTTTTGGAGCTGATTATCATTTTGCAATCTAAACTTTTTTAATTATCTAATAATAGCTAATATTTATCCAGTGTTAGGGCTTTTGTATGGATTTTCTCATTTAATCTTCACAAGCCCTGGAAGTGTATATTAAATTTTTTTCCAAATGACAAAACTAAATCTCAGCAACTTTAAGTAACTCATCCAAGGTCAGAAATGTAGTGAATAGGGCCGGGAATTTAGCTCATTGATTCCGTCCCTTGCCTTGCAAGAACAAGGTCCCAAGTTTGATTCCCCGGTACCAGAAAATAAAAAATGAAGGAAATGTGGTAAATAGTAGAACCTGGGATATGACTCTAGAGCCTACCCATTATGCTGACCTCATTGAACAGGACAGAGACTATTTTATGTGTCTGTGAAGCATGTAAATGAAATGATGTGGTTCCTATGATCCTTTAGTAAGGGAAGGTGGGGAACCAGACCAGGTACTCAGTAACTTCCTTTTACTTCTTTGATTTCAGTGAGGTATCTGCTTATTATGAAACAGGATATGGTGTGCTTTTCCAGAGCAGTAGAAAGATTGCTAGTTTCTTCAGGGATTGAAGTAGAGAATGGAAAAGTGAGCTGTGGCTCATCGTTTGGGAGAGTATAGTCCAGAGTACTTAAGAGAAAAAGGGTGTGTGTATTTTTTTCTGTTTGTGTGCATAGCCCCCAACACATACCAGATGAAACATGGCTGTGCATAAAGCAAGAACAGGAGTGGTGGGTATCAGAAGAAAGTGGTTCTCCAGGCATAGCATTTTCACAAAATTTTTGAAGTGAACTACTGAATGTCCTTTCTGTAGGATAAGCTTTGGAAGGAACCTAACTCAGATTAGGAAATGAATGAACTTTCCTTTTTGTCTTTTATTCTGAAGGGTTATTAATTTTATGATGTTTGCAGAGCATGGTGGTACTCACTTGTAATCCCAGCACTCAGGAGGCTGAGGCAGGAGGTTCTCACTTTGAGGCCAGCCTGGGGTTCATAGTGGTTTCAAGGCCAGCCTGAACTGCATAGCAAGACCCTGTCTCTAAAAAAAAATTTTTTTTAATGATTTTTATTTTTCAGATCCTCTGCTGTTCAGGAGTAGCATTTAACTACACTAGGGAAATCCTGAAGGACCATGAGTTCTTTTCTCTATAGAAATATGTTTGTTTGTTTGTTTCTGTTAATGCATAGCATGTTGAGGTGTGCTACTTAATAAACGGAGATGGGAAATCCTATTTGGAAGATAAGAATCTTACATTTTTTTTTTTCTTAAATCAGTAAAGATAACTTTTTTTTTTTTTTTTTTTTTTTTTTTTTTTTTTAAAGTAAAAATAATTTTTTTTTTTTTTTTTTTTTTTTTTTTTGTACTGAAGATAATGAACTCAGGATCTTGCACTTACTTGCAAGGCAGGCATGGTAGCACTGAGCTACATTCCCAGCCCACACAATTACTTTTTATTTCTTTAATTTTAGGTGTTTTTTTTGTTTTTGTTTTTTTTTTACTGGAAATCGAACTGCTTGTGAGGTAGATGCTGGAACCACTGAGCTACATCCCTAGACTTGTTTCTTTAATTTTAGTTAAAACTGTGTAAGGTAGATGGGCCAGGGATGTAGCTCAGTGGTGCAATGTCTACCTGGCAAACGCAAGGCCCTGAGTTTGATCCCTAGTACCAAAAATTTAAAAAGAAAAAGAATAATGTTAGGTAGAGATAATTATGATACTCAGTCTAGAAAATTTTGTAACTATGATACTGTGTACTATACAGGTTTTATAATTAATATTCAGAATATATTCTTTTCACATTCATGGAATGATCAAAATTTACAGTGATGTTTAAAATTGTTAAAAAATTGTAGTAAAAGACATATTGTCATTAATTCCTTTCAAAATGCTCCCACTTTGAACGCACTTACCCCCTCCTTCTTGACTCTTTTGGTGTGTGTGATACTGGTGCCCAGAATCCAGGGTCTTTTTACTGAGCTGTTGTCTCTAGTCCCTTTTTATTTTTTGACATAGGATCTTGCTAAGTCACTAAGTTGCCCAGGCTATGCTCAGACTTATGATTCTCCTGCCTCAGTGTCCCAGACAACTAGAACTATAGGGCTATGCTACCAGGCTTGGCTATTGTCACTTTCTGAATCAGCTCTGGAACTCCTTTCATAAGTGTCTTTATGAGGTACATGGAAGTATAATGCTGGGCGTGGTGGCGCATACTTGTAATCCCAGCACTTGCGGCTGAGGCAGGAGGATGGCAGGAGGATCACTGTTGAGTTCGAGACCAGCCTGGGCTACATAGTGAGTTCCAGGTCAGTCTCAACTACATAGTGAGACCCACATGCCATCCAACAGAAAGGCAGGCTCATAAAACATTACATGTGTCCTTATCCACCTTATTCACCAGATGTACCACGATGTGACTTCTAGTTCTTCCCCCAAATCAAAATGACCGTGAAAATTAAATGTTTTGAATTGATTCAGGACATTAAGGCAGCCAGAAAAAAGACACGAAAGAAAATTTCCAGAACTGCTTCAGAAAGTGGCAAGAATGACAGGATAAGCATGCTTGAATCAAGGGGGAGTATTTTGAGAGGAGTTTATAGCAATATGTCTTTTGCTATAATGAACTGGAAAAAAAATTGTAGATATTCACTGTATTTTTTGATTATGGTGTCTTATTTGCATTATTGGCCAGTGAGTGGTCATATATATGCTTAACCAATTTATTCATCTTTTTAGAAGTTTGATTAAAACATCCCCTTGGGTCTGTTTATCTTGGGAACTTGGTAAATCTTTCTGTGTGATTCTTCTGCCCTTAAAAATAGTAACATGGGCCAGCGATTTAGCTCAGTGGTTTCGGTGCTTGCCTCACAAGCACAAGGACCTGAATTCGATCCGTGTACCAAAAAAAAAAAGCACAGCAACATATGCATGGAGCTGTTTTTTCTGCATCAAGACAGGTTTTCTCACAGTTGAAATTAGTATGCCACGATATACAACAAGTATCTGATTAATGTGTCAAACTTTACCAGTAATTCTGGCTTCTGCTTTCTATCTTCCCTCTTCTACCAAATTTGAAATTAGTTTTGATCAAGGACTTTGTTTCTCATCATTCCTAATATATCATATCAATTTAGTAGAGACTGAAAGCTTTTTACTTTACTGCCTCTCAGTGAGCCCCTGTACTTCACAAATATAAGCATTTCTTATCTCCAGGACTGTTAGTATCTAAGCCACAAAACCAAAACATTAGAAAATTACCATAGTAGGAAAAACAGTAGCAGAAAATTACCGCATTAAAGAGAATAAGTTGCCCAGGCTGTGCTTGAACTTGTGATCCTTCTGCTTCAGCCTTCCTGGGTGCTGAGATTATAGGTGTGTGCCATCACTTGGCTGACTTTTTTTTTTTCTTCTTTTTCTTTTTCTTTTGAAACAGCATCTCACTGTGTACTTCAGACTGGTCTTGAACTCACTTTGTAGCCTAGGTTGGCCTTGAACTTGAGGTGATCTTTCCCTTTTTTTTTTGGTTTTTTGAGACAGGGTCTCACTATGTAGTTGAGAGACCTGGAACTCACTGAGTAGCCAACGCTGGTCTAGAACTCACAGCAATCCTCCTGCCTCAGCCTCCTGAGTTCTGGGATTACAGGTATTTGCCACCATGCCCAGCGAGGTAATCTTTCTACCTCAGCCTCCCAGGTGCTGAGATTACAGGCCTGTGCCACCACACCCAGCTCAACTGACATTCTCTTGTTTTTGTCTTTGGTGTGGGGAATGAACTCAACAGGTCCTTGTACCTGCAACTCAATAATTCGGGTCCTTGTACTTGAGAGGCTGGCAGTGGAACCACTGAGCTAAATACCCGGTTCTCTTAATTGTGTTTCATTGCTAACATTTTTCTGACCTGTGTTCTTGGAGAGCATGCTATTTCTTGTGAATAAGAAGTAGAATAGGGGGCTGGTGATTTAGCTCAGGGGTTCAGTGGCCTGCCTTGCAAGCGCAAGCACCCGAGTTCAATCCCTGGTACCAAAAAAAAAAGAAGAAGAAGAAGTAGAATAGTGGGGTTGGGCACCGGGTAGGAGTTCTGGAGAGAGTGTTTGCCTAGCATATATGTGCAAGGTCCTGGATTTGATCCCCAACACTGCAAAATAAAACACAGAACAGTAGAATATCACTGAATGATTTGTTCACTTTTTCTGTAGTGTATTTCTCTTTTAAAATCCATTTATTTACGTAATTGTACTGTCTTCAGATGTTTGGGGCTATAGATAGGATAACAGACAAGCTGCTTAGCTCAAGCATAATAAAAACAAAGTGGGGTGTATATCAGATACGCTTTTTCTGCAAATACCCCCATCACCATGGCTTCCTGTCAAAAATAGGACTTTGAGAACTTTTCGTGGATCCTAGGCATGTGGGCCTTACCTTGAGGATGCAAACAGATGGAGAATGTTCAGTGTTACAATAGAGGGCTAATATCTAACAGAGGGATAGGGTTGCTTGCGCTGGGTAGACTCTCAGGCTGTGTCTTGATTTTTCTCACTTTTTAAAAAATCACCATAAAGTTGACTAGAACACTTATTTCTGTAGAACCATTGTCCAAGTTAGGGACCTATTTCTTCCTTTTCTTTCTCAACATTAAGTAGAGGGAGGGAAGGGATGCGTGCTCTGGAAGATTCCTGGTGACCTAACCTTGTTTAACCACTGGTATTTTTTCCCCCCTCTCTCCCCTCCTACAGAAATGGAGGCAAACGACCATTTTAACTTTACTGGCCTTCCCCCTGCACCTGCTGCCTCAGGACTGAAACCCTCTCCTTCCTCAGGGGAGGGCCTCTACACTAACGGGTCTCCCATGAACTTCCCCCAGCAAGGGAAAAGTGAGTGTGAAGGCCGTATGGCTTGGGGTGGGAAATGGACATCATTTCTTTAGAGCAGTTTGATGGGGGAGATTTGACTTCTTTAGGATAGCTGTCCCACAGCAACTCTTTCCTGCCAGGTAGTGAAGGAGGAAGTGAATCCGCAGTACTCCAGCTGCTGGAGAGAAATCAGACTTCTAAGAATAAGTTCTAGAGGTTTATAGAAGCAACATTTTTAGTCTTGATTTAAGGTTGGAAAGGATTAGAAAAACACACTGGCTTTTTTTATCTTACCCTGCTCTTATGTTAACACTGCTCCTTGGCTACTACCAAAGAGTGTGGTAAGGTGGCTTCTGCTGATGACCAGGTTATATCCATGAAAAAGAGATAAAGGACCAGCCTTGAGAAGCTGTTTTTAGAGGTTGAAGAAGCTGTTTTGGGCTGGCACTAGGGGTAAAGAAAGGTAGATGAAAATTGGGATGTGTTTGCCTTTTAGTTTGTACAGCAGAGAAAAGAGCAGATGGTAGAAATACCTGTGTCACCTCCTGTCCTTGGATAGAAAGTAGGGACAAGGAAGCATTTAGTGTGTACTTAGTTTGCCCAGAGAGAAATTCCTAATTCCTAATTCCAGATGGAAGTGCTGCTGCCCTAATTAGGTCTTTTGCTGGATTTGGGTTCTCAGTTACTCTGTAGCATGACTCTACAAAGTATTTCTTTAATCTTGCTTGGGTTTCAAGTCCTTTATGCTTAGAAACAGAGAAAAGCCACCATATTTCCCACTTTCCCTGCAGCAGAAAAATACAGGCTTATACTTACCATTTATCTTCCTATATTCTACATGGGACTTGGAGAGGGATAGAAGCTATTTTCACTGGGGTCCCTCCCTGCCCTGTCCCCAGCGTCCTTGTTTCTTATTTGATTGTCCATCATCCTAGAGGGTGCTATTGGTGTTGAGAATTGAGTTCTGCAGCACTGGTCATGCAAAGATTATTACCCCCCTGCATATTACCCTCCACAACCTATAGGGAGGGGCCAAGCCCAGCCTTCTGAGCTGGAATCTTTGTCGCTGTGGTGACTGCAAATTCTATTCTTAGCCCAGCACAAAGTGCTGGATGTGCATGTGCCAGTGAGGTGGAGGCTGTCCCTTCTGGTGCCACTGTGGGGTCAAATAGGACTGGGGTGGGGGTACCTAGAAAATTTGTTGCACTTCTCTAAGGGAAGAATTCCTCTAGGGAACGAGAAAGGGGAAGAATGCAAGTCACTGTAGGAAGTCTGCAAGCAGCTTCATTTAATAGAAAGGCGGCAGCAGCAACCAGTTCTCTGCTGGTGGCTCCCACAGTAGGCTTAGAGAGCTCCCCAGCCCCCTGCTCAGCAGTCTCAGAAGCAGTTGCTTAGCTTACATTCAGAAGCATCTGGGTTTTGTGTTCCCCAGAGATTGAAAAGCTAAATATAACAGGGGGACTCCCCCTCCCCTTCACCTTCCCTTTTTCTAGTCAGTCCTATTACATTGGGGGTTTTTTGGTAGAATTACTTGCATATATATCCATAACTGATCCTTTTCTCTCCTTCTCCACCAGGTTTGAATGGGGATGTGAATGTTAATGGCTTATCTACTGTATCTCACACTACTACTTCAGGGATTTTGAACTCTGCTCCCCACTCCTCCAGCACCTCACACCTCCATCACCCCAATGTGGCCTATGACTGTCTCTGGAACTACTCACAGTACCCATCTGCCAATTCTGGCAGCAACCTCAAGGACCCACCCCTTCTCTCTCAGTTTTCGGGGGGACAGTACCCACTTAATGGCATTCTTGGGGGCAGCCGGCAACCTTCATCCCCGAGTCACAACACTAATCTTCGGGCTGGGAGCCAAGAGTTCTGGGGCAACGGTACCCAGAGTCCCATGGGGCTTAACTTCGACTCACAGGAACTGTATGATTCCTTTCCTGACCAGAATTTTGAGGTGATGCCCAATGGACCCCCAGGCTTTTTCACCTCCCCACAGACTTCACCTATGTTGGGATCTAGCATCCAGACCTTTGCGCCCTCCCAGGAGGTAGGCAGTGTGATCCATCCTGATGAGGCAGCAGAAAAGGAGCTGACTTCAGTTGTGGCAGAGAATGGCACTGGCTTGGTAGGCAGCCTGGAGCTGGAAGAAGAGCAGCCAGGTATAAATGGGTCTCTGAGCTGGATGGGGAGAGGGAAATGGGGCTGTGGGGGACAGTGACTTTTTGAGGTGAGGAAAACTTGTCTTTCCAGCTCTCTGCAGTGGAGGCTGATTTGCATGTTGGTGATTAGCAGAGCCAAGTGGCTGGTGTTTTTGTGGCTGCGGCACCAGCTCGAGAGTGGGAGTGCAAATTATTTCAAGCCCATGCAGAGCTGCTGGCCTGGAGAGGGCAGGTGGGCGAGCCTGAAACAGCCCCAACAGATACTCTGCATCAAGAAGGGCTTCTTCCACCACATGAAAGGGTTAGGATATTAGCAGTGGGCAGTGAGGCCCTTTTGACTAAGGAATGATCAGTTGACTGCCAAAATGGGCTGAGTCCTAGTAGGGATGGCATGTGAAAGATGGAAGGAAGCAAGCAGAATGTACTATTGGTTGTGTACTCAGTTTTATTTCTTTTTGTTGTTAGCATTAGTACATATGACAATACTTCTCATAATTTCCTTCACTTGCAAAAGGATTCCCAGTACAAGGGAGACCACCCTGTAAAATCATAGAATGTTTCCTCTGTTTCCATTCACTGGGGAAGATGTCTGCAAAAATGATTGGGTTCTTGTCTCAGATCCCACATTCCTTTCCCTTCTCTTTGCTTGCTGCAGGATTGATTTTACCAGCGCTTCTCTGCTCACTTAGGAGTGGTTTGGTGGGGGGAGTGTCTTGGTATGATTAGTTCCCTCCCAACATAGAACTGGCACCCTAATAGCAATAAATTTTGAATGAATGAACATCCTTCTAGCACAGATTAACTGCCTGCTCTAGCTAAATGAAACAGTTGAAGGCGTTTATTTTGACTTTTGCTCTCTCCTGAAATTCCCTAGAACTAAAAATGTGTGGCTACAATGGCTCTGTCCCCTCTGTGGAGTCATTACACCAAGAGGTCTCAGTCCTGGTCCCTGACCCCACAGTAGGCTGTTTAGATGACCCTTCACATCTTCCTGATCAACTAGAAGACACTCCAATCCTCAATGAAGACTCTCTTGAACCCTTCGACTCTCTGGCACCAGGTAGGCTAGAAGGCTGGATCTTTTATTTAGCAGGCAGAGGGTAGCCAGTTTCTGCCACCTGGAAGAGAGAGTAAACCAGGGAATATGTCAGGGAATCTAGGTGTTGGGGCTTCGAGATAGTCTGGTGGCAGACCATAGTTATGTGCCACTGGCCTGACTGGGCCAACTGCCCTCTGAGCTGAATTGGTTCTTTTCCCAGGTTCTTACCCAGTATTCCATTTGGCCAAGAGCCCTGCGCTGTAATAATTCACTGAATATGGACTTAACCACCATTATCAGTGAACAGTAATCTTTTACCACACTGATATATAGGATAGGCACATTTTATGATAAATGCTGTAATTTTACAAGGGTCTATGGTCAGTTATTTTCTCTTTTCACCTCAGAACTTTTATGGCCCCTACAGTTTATAATGATTACTTTTTTTTTTTTTTTTTTTTTTTTTTTTTTTATACTGGATATTGAACCCAGGAACTTCTCATGAAGTTTAAATCCCCAGTGTCCTAAGTATAGGCTCCCTCCCCTTGTTTTTTTGTAAATCATTAAGCTGCCCATGCTGGATTTGAAGTTGTAATCTTCCTGCCTCAGCCTCCCAGAGTGCTGGGATTACAGGTGTGTACCATCATACCTGTCCACCTTTCCACATGCACTGGGGATCCAACACAGGACCTTGCATTTGTGAGGCAGGTGCAGTGCTACTGAGGTAAATCCCTGGCCCCTGGCCAGCCCTTTTTAAGTGCCATATATTGTGTATTTTTCTTAATTTAATTTTAGAAAGTATCTTCATACTGTGGAAACTAAAACTGGATTTTGAGACAGGATCTCATTATGTAGTCCAGGCCAGCCTTGAACTTGTGTTTTATGATCCTCTTGCCTCAGCCTTCGAAGTGCTGAAATTACAGACATGCTGTACCATGAATGGCCTAAAGTTGAATATTTTTCAGGCCAGTTTTGTTTTGGTTTGATTTATGGTGGAAGTAAAGATTGAAATGAGGACTTTTATGGGCTGTGGGTGTGGCTTGGTGATAGAATGCTTGCTCAGCATACACAAGGCCCTTGGTTTGAGGGCCAGGATCACCAAAAAAAAAAGGCAAGAACTAAGGACCTTTGCACCACATTGTCTGTCTTTTTTTTGTACTGGGTATTGAACTCAAGACCTTGCACTTGCGAGGCAGGCAGCAGCACCACTGAGCTAAATCCCCAGCCCTATCTTATTTTATTTAGAGATAGGGTCTTGCTAAGTCACTAAATTGCCTAGGCTGATTTGAAGTCCTCTGCCTGAGCCTCTCCAAGAGTGCTGAGATTACAGGCATGTGTCACCATGCTTGGTTTCAAGCAAGTATTTCTTGAGGAAATCTTACTTTCTGATTTTCCTTAATATCCTGATTTTTTTTCTTTCACCCCATACACAGAGCCAGTGAGTGGAGGACTTTATGGTATAGATGACACGGAATTGATGGGTGCTGAAGATAAGCTGCCTCTTGAGGATAGTCCTGTGATTTCTGCCCTTGATTGCCCTTCCCTCAATAATGCTACTCCTTTCAGTCTCCTGGCTGATGACAGTCAAACGTCAGCCTCTATCTTTTCCAGCCCTGCCTCTCCTCCCGTCTTAGGAGAGTCTGTTCTGCAAGGTAAGTGAGGAGAGTAGGACAAAAGTTCTTGGGCCGGGGATTTAGCTTAGCGGTTTGGTGGCCTGCTTTGCAAGCGCAAGGACCCAAGTTCAATCCCCGATACCAAAAGAAAAAGAAAAAAAAAGAAAAGTTCTTGACTTGAAAAAAAAAAAAAAGAAAGAAAATAGGTTCTGTATAGGTAGGACCTTAGAAGTGGGAAATGATTAAGAACACCTCGCTGAAGGATTAGGAATTTATGGAATAGTGTATGATGGGATTAAAGCATGGGCCACTCTACTCTGACCTGTTTTCCCAGTTCAGAATAACTTGTGAGTCTTGGGGTTTGCAGGGAGAAGGAGAGCAGATAATTACCTGGGTTCAGATAAAAGATTTATTTATATACTTACAGTAGAAGTTTTGCCCTTTAATGTTTGTAAATGTTCGGGGAGGAAAGCCAGAGGTGCTTTTTCAAACCTTAGGAAAAAGCCCTTGAATAACCATGTTTAGTTTAATCCAGGTTTGATTGAGTAGGTTATTTTATGTGGTGCCATTTTTCTTTCACTCATCCTATCCCTTTGGATCCTAGATAATAGCTTTGACCTGAATAATGGCAGCGATGCTGAACAGGAAGAAATGGAGACTCAGGGTTCAGACTTCCCACCACCCCTGGCCCAGCCACACCCTGACCAGCCATCCACTATTCAAATTCAGATACATCCAATAGCCTCACCAGCAGCCTCACCAACAGCCTCCCCAGAAATCTGCGCTCCAGAAGTCTCCCTATCAGTGTCTCCAGCAGCCTCTCCACATCTCTGCCCAACAGCCTGCCCAGTTGTCTCTCCAGTTTCCTCAGCAGTCCTCCCAGCAGTCTCTTCGGAAGTTGCCTTGACAGCTCCAGTGAGCTCCCCAAAAGGCTCCTCTGTAACTTTCCCAGCTTCTGCCTTCCCAGCAAATAAAGATAACAACAGCTTCGGTGAAGCCACTGGTGACCTGGAAGAGATCACTGGAGAAGAAGTCACTACTTCTGGTAGTGGTAAGTGTCTAGATTCTGTTCTACCCCTGGGCGGTTCCCAGAAAAGTATGTTTTAGCCAGGTGTGATACTGTAATCCCAGTGCTCTGGGAAGCCGAGAAAGGAAGAACACAAGTTCAGATCCAGTCTGGCAACTTAGTGACAGCAAGACCTTGTCTCAAAATAAATTTCAAAAAGGCTGGGGATGTAGCTCCACACAAAGGCCTTGAGTTCAACCTCCAGTACAACTAAGAGTTGGTAGGGAAAGAGGGAGGGAAGAATAAGAGGGAGTGGTTCCATGTTACATGTGTGTCAGCCCTCTCCACTAGCCTGTTATTTCAGTATTATACTTGAGCTCCTAACTTCAATATCCCATTTTCCTTCTAAGCTGATGTCCTAAGAAGACGTATTGCTACTCCAGAAGAAGTTCGTCTTCCCCTCCAACATGGGTAAATGCTCTAGGTTGCTACATGCATTGACCTTGAAACGTTTAATGCATGAATGTAGGAATGGGAGCTCCACTCTTCTGAGTTTGGGGTGAAATGGGCAGAATAGGAGTAGATTACAGGACAGTTATCTGTAATTATAGTGTTCCTTGGCATGAGACTCCTAGGTTTTCCTTCTCTCAGGGTCTATCTTCACTCACTGATTCTTTCTTCATCTCATGGTGACTCAGCCTGATCAAAGGGCTCTAGCTGCTATCTTGCCAAACCTATAAGCTCAGTTATCCAAACTAGCTGCCTTGCCTATTTCATAGAGAAGGGTTGTAACGAATGAGAGTGACTTATGAACAATGATTTGGGATAGTTTTGTCATGGTGGTGGTTTTTGTTTTAAAGCTCTTTGGAGAGGTACATACTGGTAACAGTAATAGAATGAGCAAGCCAGCTAACACCAAGGGCTTTATGGAAGTAACTACTTTGTTTTACCTTCCCCACTCCAACACCTCTAGGCTTATAGTCACCAAGTCTGAGAATTATTTACAATATGCAAGAAAGACTTAACAATAATTTGTTGCTTAGAACATGGAGTTCTTAACTAAACCCTGGTCTACCGCATCATTTCATGGAGCCTGCAGGTTCACTCTTCAGTTTCCCTCCCCACCCTTCTTTTTTTTTTGCCCTTATTCCCCTAGGTCTTTATCTTCTTTACTGGCAGTTTAGTAAAATTGCCCTGAATGACATTAGGGAGGGATTTCTGGCTATTCATCTCACAGACTTTGTATGTGCAGGTCATTTTAGGCTTATGTGGTTTAATGTATTGCTTTCCTCCTGAGGGCCCTGGGGTATTTGTGGGCACTCATGTTGGCCTTTTTGTCAAGTTTGTGTCTTATGCTGCTTTCACATCTGCATGTAGTACTAGTGAGACAGATACCGGGGGAGGAGGTTCTCTGCTCAGTGGGCTTGGTTCCTGGGTGGCTTGGAAATGGGTAGGGGTGTGACCTGGTGGCAGGGCCCATGTGCTTCTCTGGCAGGTGGCGGAGAGAAGTGCGCATCAAGAAAGGCAGCCACCGATGGCAAGGAGAGACCTGGTATTATGGCCCATGTGGGAAAAGGATGAAACAGTTTCCAGAAGTGATCAAGGTAATAAAGCTTTTATAGTTTTTGTTTGTTTCTGGTACCAGGAATTGAACTCAGAACTTTGCGCTTGCCAGGCAGATGTGGTACTCCTGAGCTACATCCCTGACCCTTTTTATGTTTTTTTGGTTTTGGGGTTTTTTTGGTACTGGGAATTGAACTCGACTTTGCGCTTGTGAAGCAGGTGGCAGAACCACTGAGCTAAATATCTGGCCTTTTTATGGGTTTGGTTTGGTTTTTGTTTGGTACTGGGATCAAACTCGGGACCTTGCTCTTGTGAGGAAGGTGGCGGCACCAATGAGCTAGATCTCTGGCCTTTTGATGGGTATTTTTAAAGGAAGCACACACTCCTTTTGGGGCCCTGACATGCAGGTTGGCATAGTCTACTCTGGGACCTGTAGTGTTTCTGCCAGTCCCAGCCAAAGGCATCATAAGACTCATTAATGTTGATTAACTTCCTCCTTTTAGTACCTGAGCCGCAACGTGGTACACAGTGTGCGCCGTGAGCACTTCAGTTTCAGCCCTCGAATGCCTGTTGGAGATTTCTTTGAAGAGAGAGACACACCAGAGGTGCTGGCCTAAGGATTAAATATGATTTGGTCCCTGAAAAAGAGTTGATGGGAAAGCTGCAGCCTCTTCTTGTGGTTTGGAAATTCTGAGGGCCTTACATTTAGAGGGACTAATGGCCTGTGCACCATTGTAACAGTCTTCTTGCTACTTTAGGGCTTGCAGTGGGTTCAGCTCTCAGCAGAGGAGATTCCATCCAGGATTCAAGCAATTACTGGCAAACGGGGTCGACCTCGAAACAATGAGAAGGCTAAGACCAAGGAAGTCCCCAAGGTGAAACGGGGCCGAGGTCGGCCACCCAAAGTCAAAATCCCTGAGCTATTGAATAAGACAGACAACCGTCTCCCAAAGAAACTGGAGGCCCAAGGTAGAATAGCATTTTTTCCTTTCGTTTCTGCTCCCTACACAACTTACCTGAAATATTGCTGAATTGCTAATACTAGGTTTCCTAGGAGTGTGACTGATATCTGGGAAGAATTTCAATCCCTCATAAGATAATGTCAAGAATCCCAGCACTTTGGGTACTTGCTTTGCAGTCACTTTTTTCCTTGAGTGGGTCTTATTAGTAAAGCCTTGAGTCTCTAGATAGAACTATATTTCTGTGCCCTTTCTTACCTGTTTTTCAGCTCCTTATTTATACTGATGTCATTTGTTCACTCTTGCTTGTGACACTCATGGAGATTCAAAATTCACATCTCAATTCAAACAATAATCACTACTTTAGTTGGATATATGGAGGGAAATGTCTTAAGTTTTTTCAATAAGTTTTGTATTTACGTAAACCTGGTATAATATAAAAATGTGAACAGATTTTGTCTTCTGCCTCCCATTCAGTGTTTTAGCGCTATCTTTTTTTTTTTTTTTGAGACAGGGTTTTCATTAGGTAGTTGAGACTGACCTGGAACTCACTGTGTAGCCCAGGCTGGTCTTGAACTCATAGTGATCTTCCTGCCTCAGCCTCCTGAGTGCTGGGGTTACAGGCGTGCACCACCACGCCCGGCTCTAGTGCTACTATCTTCTGACTGTATGACCTAAAACAAATCTCTTTATTTTTATTTTACATTGATTGATTGATTGATTGATTGATTGATTGAGACTGAGTCTCACTGGTAGTTCAGGCTGGCCTTGAACTTACTCGGTAGCCTGGGCTGTCTTAAAATTCCTGGTTGTACCTCATCTTTTTGCTTATCTTTGCTTTATCTTCCTCATTCAGCATTTCTCCTGCCTCATCCTCCTGAGTGCTAGGACTATAGGCATGAGCTACCATACCCCAGCTGAGTCTCATATTTTAAGAGAACTCTTAAGTAGTTCATCTGCCCTTTGTGTCTGAGGATTGCCATATAGATAAATGGTAACATTTCTTTTTTTGTTGTTGTTTTTTTTTTTTTTTTGGTACCGGGGATCAAACTTGGGTCCTTACGCTTGCAAGGCAGGTCGTGGAACCACTGAGCTAAATCCCAAATGGTGATATTTCTATATCAGAAACAAAAGAATAAGTACTGTCAAGTCAAAAATATCACAAAATATGCAGAATTATGCTTCAGAATTTAGTATTCTAGATGAAATTTGATAGGTTGGTTTACTATTTATTTAACAAGAAAAAATTAGAGGGCTGGGGATTTAGCTCAGTGGCACTGTGCCTGACTGGCTAGTGCAAGGTCCTGAGTTCAATCCCTGGTACTGGGGAAAAAAAAAAAGATATAAAAGCTGAGGATAAGCGATAGCTATGTCACTGTTGATCTGACTATAAAATGTCTCTTACTTGCTCTTTCAGGCATAGTCTTGATTAATCAGTGCCACCGGCTAACACCTTCTTTGCCTGGTAGTTTGGCTTTCTGGTTCCTTTCTCAGTCCTCTCTATGCTAAAATCAGTCCTTGCATTGCCTGGAAAAGAGATGGCTGCAAGGCTATTCTGCTGCTATGGCCTCTTTTCCATCAGCTGGACTGCCTCTAAAGTAGTCCATTTGGAACCAGGGGCTGCTGCTTTTGGGCAGTAGATACCATTTGAGTTCTTTGTGCCCCTCTCCTGCACTCCCCCCAGTATTTTATTATGGATACTTAAAAATAAAAATAAGACAGGCATGAGGGTACATTCGTGTAATCCCTTAGCTTTGGGAACCCAAGGCAGGAAGAGAAGTTCAAGCCTAGCCTGGGAAACTTGGCAATTTAGTCTCACAAAAAAAAAAAAAGGACTAGTACTGGGCATGGTGGCTCGGGCCTGTAATTCCAGCACTCAGTAGGCTGAGACAGGAGGATCACTGAGAGTTTGAAGCCAGCCTGGCTACATAGTGAGTTCGAGACCAGCCTAATTACAAAGTGAGACCCTGCCTCTAAACAGAGCAGTGGACTGGCTCATTGTGAAGACCCTACGTTCGGCCCTTAGTTTCAGAACTTGGAAATAAAAAAATTTTAAAAAGCCAAGTATTGTGCTGTATACCTGTGGTCCCAGTACTCAGGAGGCTGAGGGAGGAGGATCTCTGCAAGTTTGAGGCCAGCCTGGGCTACATACTGGCCAATTCAATACTAACCTGAACTATACACATTGAGACTCTGTCTTTACAAACTTATCTACATTTTTCAAGGAGCTGTTTGGTAAGACTGACTACCTTTGCAACAGCATGTGGTGTCCTGGGTGCCAAAGATCCATCTTTTTGCCTCACTTATCTCATTTTCTTTACAGAAACACTGAATGAGGAAGATAAAGCAAAAATGAGTAAAAGTAAAAAGAAGATGAGGCAGAAGGTACAACGGGGAGAGTGTCAGACTCCTGTCCAAGGGCAGGTGAGGGACATCGGTGGGCTAACTTGCCCCACAATGTGCTTCATCTTCTTTTCCATCTCCTGTATCTGTCACCCCTGCATAGCACCACACTCATTGCCTTGAACTCTCTTGGGCTTTATTCAGAAATAATGTAGATGACTCTAGGGTGAGAGGGTTAATCCATTGCCATCCCCTCATCATTCCACCTCTCCTCCTCTGCACGCTTGTTTATTTTTTAATCCTGGCCCAAGCAGAGATGCTTTCAGAGTTTGAGGAGAAATGACTTCCCTCATGGTTTACAGGCCAAAAACAAACGGAAACCAGAAACCAAGAGTGTAAAACAGAAAGATGCCAAGAAGAAATTGAAGGTAGGTGCATGCACACACTTGCTGAGGCTAATTTTGAAGCCCCTGTACTTACTTTGCAAGATGAGTGCGCCAGTCTTACACTTTCATTTCTGGGCTGTGAGGTTGGGAGGGGCTGAGGGCGAGGAAGGGTGATGACCGATATCTTTATGTCACTCTTGGTTCCTCTCTTCCTTGATGGGTAGGCTGAGAAAGAAAAGATAAAGACAAAGCAGGAAAAAGTGAAGGAAAAAGTGAAGAAGGAAAAGAAAGAGAAAGTAAAAATGAAGGAAAAGGATGAGATGGCCAAAGCCAAGCCAACTTGTAAAGCAGATAAGACCCTGGCTACCCAGAGACGCCTAGAGGAACGGCAGAGGCAGCAGATGATCTTGGAGGAGATGAAGAAGCCCACAGAGGACATGTGTCTAGCTGACCACCAGGTAGTAAGGGGAAATAACAGTTCCAGGGTCATGGAGGGCCCCCATTTGTAAGGACTGCAGTGTTATAGGGAGGACCTCATGGAAAGCCTTACTGTTGCCTTCTGCTAAGTCTTAACAGATACTCTACCATTTTGATCCCTGCAGCCCCTGCCTGAGTTCACACGCATCCCTGGTTTGACATTGCCCAGTAGGGCTTTCTCTGACTGCTTAACCATCGTGGAGTTCCTGCACAGCTTCGGCAAGGTGCTGGGCTTTGACCCTATCAAAGATGTGCCTAGCCTGGGGGTCCTGCAGGAGGGACTCCTGTGTCAAGGTGACAGCTTGGGCAAGGTGCAAGACCTGTTGGTACGGCTCCTAAAGGCAGCGCTCTATGATCCTGGGTTGCCCTCCTACTGTCAGGTGAGCTTTCCTGGACAGGCCATGAGGGCCTGGGATGTAGTGCTTTGTTTCAGTTTTGCTTTCTAAGAACACTTAGAGATTCTTAAAGTGATGAGAAGTGAGAGAGATGTTCTGTTTTGTTTTTTTAGACAGGGTCTTGCTATGTTGTTGATCGAGCTGGCTTTGAATTCATATGTAGCCCAGGCTTGCCTCAAACCCACCACAATCCTGCCACAGCCTCCTGAGTGCTGGGATTACAGGCGTGTGCCACCACACCTGGCCTTAATCCTTTTGCACTTTTCCTTCGTAGTTGTCTTCTATTTTGTTTTAGAAACTTCTGTTCCTATTTTTCTATCTTAACCCAGTAGTTCTCCCAGGTTCACCTTATTTGAGTTGTTCCCCTTTGCTTCCTCATTCCCCTTACGCTCTCTTCTCTAAACAGTCTCTCAAGATCTTGGGGGAGAAGGTGTGTGAGATCCCACTGACAAGAGACAATGTGTCTGAGATCCTGCGCTGCTTCCTCATGGCGTACGGAGTAGAGCCAACCCTCTGTGACAGCCTCCGAACTCAGCCTTTTCAGGCCCAGCCACCACAGCAGAAAGCTGCTGTTTTGGCCTTCCTTGTGCATGAGCTCAACGGCTCCAACCTCATCATCAAGTGAGGGGCTGGGGTGGGGATGGTTGTCTTTTGCCTCGTGTCTGTGTGGGATGGGGGATGGGTTTTCCCAGTCAGAAGTCCCAGAGTGATATGTGCTTCCTGCCAAACTCTGGAGATGGAACTGAATTTCTCTGCCCTATTGGGAGAACTTAAACTTACCTCTGCTGTTCATTATTCAGTCTAGGTTCTAGGCTGAAACTCCCTACTGCCCCTATACCTTTAAGGCCCCCTTCCCTTTTTTTGTGCTGCCACTTCTACCTCAAAATCCCATTCCTTATACCCCTGCAGTGAGATTGACAAGACTCTGGAGAGTATGTCCAGCTACAGGAAAAACAAGTGGATTGTTGAAGGCCGGCTCCGGAGGTAGGGACGGAACAGAGGGCAGAGCCTAGAGAGAGGCGAGGAAGGGGAAAGGGTGAAGCATACCCAGCACTCTTGTCTGGAACTTTTGCCCTTAGCCCCTTCCCCTTAACAAGTTTAGATTCCAAATGTTCCTTCTGTGGCAGTAAAAGAAAACCTCACCATAGTTTTCTTTATTCTGCCCATCTATTCAAGACTGAAAACTGCTCTGGCAAAGCGAACTGGGCGGCCTGAGGTAGAGATGGAAGGACCAGAGGAAGGCCTGGGACGGAGACGCAGTTCTCGGATCATGGAAGAAACTAGTGGCATGGAAGAGGAGGAGGAGGAGGAGACTGTAGCAGCTGTCCATGGCCGAAGGGGTCGAAGAGATGGAGAGGTACTGGCTCAAGAACAAGAAAAGTGGAAGTCAAAAAACATATTTTGCCAGACACACACCTGTAATCCCAGCACTTGAGAGGTTGAGGCAGGAGGATTGCTGTGAGTGAGGCCTGCCTGAACTGCATAGGAAATCCTATCTCAAAAATAGAAAACAAAAATTTTGATGGCTGGGCATGGCAGCTCATGCCTTTAATCCCAGCATTCTGGGAGCCTGAGGCAGGAAGATCACAACCCCTAGCCCAGTCTGAGCAACTTAGCAAGATCCTATTTTGTAATTAAAAAAAAAAAAAAAAAAAAAA